CTGAAATCTACTGGCAAACACAAAAGAAAATGGAAAGTTCAGGCTGCAATCGCAGAGCTCGAGCGCTGCTGCCTGGGGTTACTCTCAGCTCTACCTTTCGCTCCCCTCGGCTCCAGCACAGGGGGAACCCCCTCCCTGGCATTTTAGGCTTCAACCCATACCTTAGCCGTTTTGATCCCTAATCAATAGTCGTGTTACAAACGGCAATAATCATCGATCAAGCGTGTCGTGACTGGGTTGCCCCACTCGTGTTAAATATGGAGCGCGTATCTGAAAATGGTGCCAGCGACTTTCTGTTATTTATTTTGGAGCTATTAAGTCACGCCACCATATTTTACACTGCCACAGTCCTTTAAACTATGCTGCTTCTTGAAAGAGTTGCTAAGTAGCAATAAAGCACTTTACAAACGCTATGACATTTTTTTTTTAATTTGTTGTTATCCCAAACTCTAATATTCATTGCGGCACTTTAAGTTCGTACATAAATCGTTCAGACTAATGAGTCATAGAGAAATTCGCCCATGACTTTTCCTTTACAATGCTCACTGCCTTTCCATTGCTTTTTTGGCCCTGCATTAGAAGCCGGTGATTTATTAACGCCAGGAAAATTGAACAAAGCAGGTCCTCCTGCACTGTGGCACCCAGCCTTCCACAGTGTGAATTAGAACATTATCAAATGTGTTTGCCTCGGTAACACTTAATCACCAAAAGCCGTAATGTGACCACAAGGCAGCTAAAACAAAGATTTAACATTTCTAAATATTAAACTTGTTAAGCAAATGCTCAGCAGACAAAGCAAGCACAAACAATTCAAGTCATCAAGCTAGAAATACACACTACCTACTTACCAACACAGACCCTACTGCTTGCTTAAGAAGTTTAGAATCTTTCAAGATAAATCAGGTGGTTTGTTTTTTTTTTTTTTTTTAAGGGATTAAAAAAAAAAAAAAGAAAGGAAGAAAGAAAGAAAGAAAACCAAACTCCAGTAATAAGGAGTTGAGTTTCACTTCTGAGAGAATCACTCCTAGTGAGGACTGACGGCCACAGATCCATTCCTGACTATCTGCATTAATTATTTAATGAGTCACGTGACCCTAAAGATTAAAATTTCAATATCTCCCCCAGAACAGACGCAACACCTTTATCTGCGAGCGCAGGGATCCTTGTACTTGGGTCTCCTAATCTCTGCTGCCTTTGACAGCTCCTCAGTTTCTGGGGAGAGCGCCCGGGCATTAATAACCCGGGTTTGTCCCGCTCCGTTCCGCAGGCTGGGCGGCTCCGCACCCCCCTGGTTTTGCCAGTTGAACCCCGATCCCCATTGTCTGCAGCGGGGGGCAGCTCTGAGCGCTGCTGGCAGGGGGACCGGGGAGCATCCGGGGCGGCACCCCCCGGGCTACCCTCCGCGGGTGG